AGGGGTTACACAAATGCATCTATTCTATTTTCTCTTTGAAGGGTCCATCTTCATGCATTAGTTTGATGACAAAATCCACCTGCCAAGTACAAAAGTTACATTATTATAAGGCAACGATCCGACGAGACTTACCATCTTTGTTTGCTCTTTTGTACTTTGCTAAATCACCATAACATACCTGATTTGATTCCCGCACCAAAAACTCATCTATGGCTTGCTTGAACCCTTCATCGAATATGTAATGGCAACTATAAGTTTTTACAGGAAGGTAACCCCGCTGAATCTTATGCTCACCCTGCGCTCCAGCTTCTACCGTTTTCAGGTTAAGCTCTATCGCAGCTTCAATTGCCTGTTAATCCCATTACACATTTGTAAAACTTTTATCATCTAAAATATAGTTCCATACAAAACCCAGAGATTTTGTAAACATCAAGACCAACCTGGTAATAGCACGCTTCAAAATGGAGACTAGGATAATAGGAATCAGGACGACATCCCCATAGTCGTCCAAATAGAGTATCTCCTCCAATAAGATTCAATGCTCCTGCAACAGGTTCCTCATTTTCTTCAGCGAGAACAAGCAATACCTCGTCTCCCAACTTTGATGCCATAACGTGGAAGAACTCCCTTGTGAGATAAGGTGTGCCCCATCTACAAATATCCGGAAAACGTATCAGAATTACGCTGTGCAGGTGCAAAACACTTGAAGATGAGAGATAACACATAGATGCATGATCGTATGGACTAAACTTGTTATCAGTTGTGTTCCTGTAGAAGTCATAGAAGGAATCCCAGTGCCTAGCCTGCAAAAACATTAGAAACAAATGATGAATTGAATTTTTTTTTTATTGATTCAGGCTTGATACAATTAAATTTTCAAGACACATATCATAGCATGTCCTAACAATTCTAACATCTAGTAGCAAATTGAGATCCCAAAGTTGATGATAGCCTCTAAAATGAAAAGATACGTCGAGTAGTGATCAATTATAAAAAAAAAATGTGTCATCTTGTGCCAGTCCAGTTACATACCTTTATTTCATCTCCTCGCAACCGTCTCATTTTCAAATTCTGGGTACCAATCTACTAGAGAAAAGGAGCATTAGAAGTCAGCAGCGTGGTTGACAAACGCCACAAGGAAAGGATAAAGAAGTAAGGCTAGAGTTCAAAATTTGTATGGGAAGAACCAAAGAATAATTATTCTATTTAACTATCCAGTATCCACAAGGGCACGGGGACTTAGAAAATGGATACATCTCAACCACTCGCACAATAAGGATGATATGAAAACAGGAAAAATAAGCAAACCTTTTTGCGTTCCTGCCGGATATTTTTCCTCTTGCTTTGCTTCATGTCCATCAAGAACTCATCAAAACTGAAGCATTAAACATTAAAAGTTAACATCATTCATATGTTATAACTTTAAAGCTTAAAAATTTGATAATCAACATAACAAGACCAGACAGAAACTGATGCATTAATATTAGTTACAGAATCAAAATAAAGACATCATTTGATTAAAGATAAAAATTAAAGTGTCTCAGATGTCAGCTTTATCATCAAACCCTCAACATATTCCACATCAAAGTAAGCTATAACATTTAGTTATTCAATCGTTAGAAATTCTAAGAAAATGTACCTAAACTGTTTGACAACAACGTTCTAAGTTGAAGAAAGCATCTACAAGTGAATCTTATGACTAAGAAGTAGTGTTTTTTCGTTAAAAACTTATAACAATAAACAAACTATAACTATAACCAGTCCAGACGGTCCAGTCATTGTTAAAACTATAATGGCAATGAAACTTCAATTACTTTTTATAGTCACGATTTTGCCAGTGGTACTGCATTCCAATCCTCTGTGAGAAGCCTTTCTCTCTCAATTTGTTCCACTCAGCTCCAGACGGAAATGTAATGTGCAAAGATGAAACTTGTAACTGCCACAGCGCACAGAATAAAACTGGTCTATCAGCAGAAAGCGTATGTTGAAAGCCGAACTCAACGCAAAAAACCAATACAGCTCTAAGAAGGTAAAATATGAGATGTTCCTGTAGTATGAAAGATAGCTAATACATAGAAAAGAAAATCAATTATGTATACCATGAGATTACAAGTTTAACCATTTAACAAAACCCATCATGTTTTTCATGTTGTTGTTATCATAATACAACGCATTTTATACCTTAGCTGCCAATTCTGTCATGGCAGAAACAATAGCCTCAAAAACTTGGTCTTTGCAAGGAACATTACGGGTTAGAATCCTAGGGCCAGTAACTGGGGTGAAAGGAACACAACACTGAAGCTTAGGATAATATCTTCCCCCAAAACTTCGGTATGCATCTGCCCAAGAGTGATCAAAAACAAATTCGCCATAGGAATGACTGCAACACATAATAAAGTACATGAGAATATTCAAGTGCATGACATAAGTATTAATGCATCCAAGACATCTAAAAACCTTTTGAGATAAAGTGGGACAACGCCTAAAATACTCTCAGATTCATCCTTAGCAACAATATGTAATGGCATCCAACCTGTTTCCTATAACAATTCACATATAGAGATGCTCATAAGAAACACAAAACTTTAGCCTTCCTCCGATCGAAGAAATCATTTTTAAGCGAAACTGTTCTAACTAACCCGGACGGCACAACCAGTCTCTTCTAAACTGGAAAGAAATCCATAACTTAGAAATGGATTATAGCTTTCAGGTTCAGAAGAATCCAATGCACATGCATCCCATTCAGCTTGTGGTATCTCTAATATCGAAGAAACAACTGAAAGTGAAATAACATTTTGCCTCTGCTGATTTCCCAAAGCTTCCTAAACTCAGAAACGAAATCAATATCAGGAGAAAAGTAATGAAACATCTTCTTAGCATCAAGAATGGAGTAGCTCAACACCTCAATGCCTGATCCAGTTAGAGTGTAATCCCTAAGTGATATATCGAATTCTCGTACTTCCGCAGGCTTATTGCTCTTCCAAAACATCGCCGTAACCCTGGATGATCGTCTTGAGCTCCCAACATTTTGTTTCTTCCACAAATTTCCCTACAGAGAGATTCACATGAGAGCTTGTTGAATTAATCTAACTTCATAGCCAAGACCTAACAGACCCAACATCAAGTAAAGTCCCAAAGTAGAACGATTGATCTCGAAATCAAAATCAGAGGAAGACTCACACAGCGACGATGGAATCGACGAAGCGGAGGCGAAGGTTTGCAATAGGAAAGTACAACAGCCATGGAGATGAGATTGTGGTCACGTGTCTGGTGCGATTTACGAGAATCGAAAGAGGAGTCCCGACGTGCGTCACCGGAGACGGCGGCGGCGGCGGCTCCGGCGATTAAGTAGAGTCACAGTCCTCTCACTGATGATTTTTTTGATTCATTGAACGCTTTCGAATTTTGGGATTTGCGTAGTGACGTGGCACTTTTGGGGTCTTTCAGTTAGTTTTGCGTTGTCGATAAGGTGGGCTCAAATACTTTGATTTGACATTAGGCCCATTAAAACGAGTGAACATGGACCATTAAAGCCCAAACCTTTTGTTTTTTTTTTCTTTTTTGTTTGTCATCAAGCCCAAACCTTTACAAATCGTAATGTTTGTAGAACTAAGCTTTTGAAATATTACTAGGTTTTAACCCGCGGTACACCGCGAGACGATTGTTTAGACTAAAAAATATATATTAAGTTGTATTTGTTAATTTTATTACTTTTTTAGTGTTTAAGATTGTGTAACTGTATTTTTGATTGTTATTATTATTACTTAACTCGCGGGATTTTTTTTTGTAACTCGCGGGACTAAAAAAATTATGTTTAAGTTATATTTGTTATTTTATTTTGTTTTGTTAACCCGTAAGATAACCCATAAGAAAAAACATAAAACTCAAACCCGTTAAATCATATTTATGTAAAATATAAACTTTGAATGTTTTACAGATTTCGAGAGAGATTTTGGTTTCGAAAACCTCATTCTTAACCAATCAAGATTTTAAAATTTTGGATCCCCTAAAATTTAGTAAATTTTTTTTTGTTGTAATCTTCCATTCAAGATTTTGGATTTTTAAGTTTCATATTAGTCATATTTATAATGGTTCCGAACCATTGTCTAAAAAATCTACCCGAGGTGGGACGTTGTATATGTTTTTTCTTTTATCGATTGAGTAATATACGTCCGTTTTCAAAAATTTAAATTGCTACATATGCGAAAAAAATTATATTTTTATTATACTTATGTTTTATGTAATAATGTAAATTTTAAAATAAATAAGATCATATAAAGATATTGGAGAGATATTCAATTTATTAGAGAGACATTTTAGGAAATTTAGTTAAATGTAATAAATATTAGTTTCTAATTTTGCGATTCTGGTGTAATTTAATTACAAATTTTATCTTAAAAGTTCGTTATTTATTTAAATGGCAAAGATTTATTATGCAAATAATACAAAATAAAAGGTTATTTTCCAAAAGGTATTTCAAAAATGTTAATATAGATTTGTTACTTGTGTAGCAAGATACTGAATTTGGTAGCAAACTGATAGATGCAAATAAGGCGAAAAGATTTTATTTGGTTTACAGAAATAAATTACATTGATACTTGAAACAGAGAGCAAGTAGTTTTGAATAGAAATTACATATGAAGATAACTTAATAGCTAGCTAGAGCATAACAAAGGTGGATCAAGCTTGAACTCCAAATCTTCTTTCCCTGCGCTGATACGAAGCGAGGGCCTCGATAAGCTTACCCTTATCGAAATCAGGCCAAAGGACCGGCGAGAAAAAGAGCTCGGTATAAGCGAGTTGCCACAAGAAGAAGTTACTAATCCTCTGTTCTCCACTTGTCCTAATCAAGAGATCAGGACTTGGGAAGTCAGTACAACTTGTCAGAAGCTCTCTTTGGATCAATGTCTCATCTACATCTTCCTCTCGGATCAACCCTTCTTTTGACTTCTTCACAATACTCTTGCAAGCGTGTGTGAGATCAAATCTCCCGCTGTAGTCTATTGCCAAGATGAGATGCTTATTCTTGTAGCCTTTTGTAGCTTCCTCTATCTCGTTGATTACTTGGATGAGTGATTTAGGGATCTTCGTTTTATTCCCAATAACAGAAATGCGAATTTCCTTTCTGAAACAACAAAGAACTTAGTAATAAACTAATTGATCAGACCTATTGAATTTGGATTTTTATATACCTTTGGAAGTCGTTGATGTTGGAACTGAGATAGTGTTGGAGCAAAGACATTAAGCAATTAACCTCAACCTTAAATAGTAATTACAACAAAGTTTGTTAGAGAGTAAATAATTGTATGATAATGTAATAAAGTTACTTGTGTCTAAAATGTCACACACCTTGTCTCTTCCCCAATTCTCTGTGGAGAAAGCAAAAGCTGAGACTGTATGAATCCCCATTTCGAAGCAGAGCTCAGCGATCTCTGTAAGCCGTTTAGCTCCGGCCTCGTGGCCTTGTGACGTCAGCAATCCGGCCCGTTTGGCCCATCTCCGGTTACCATCAAGTATTAATGCCACATGACTCGGCATCCTCTCTCTTTGTAGCTCTTCCTCTCTAACAACATAAGTTCTCTCATCACTACACAAACACCGAAGAGCAAACCTATGTTATATATGATCCAACAATATAAGTTATGTTGCAAGTAAAAAGTTTTGTTAATCCGTTAGTAAGTATATATTTTGTGTACATTATATGACTATTTCCTCTATAATTACAAATTCAAATTAACGTAAGAACTTGTATAAAACATGTTGTAAGAAGTGTTTGTAACATGCGTGATGCGTGAACATAAATCGTTTATAAAGTTTACGTGGATGAAAATTTGAGTTATTAGACTAAACATAACAACTAAACCTAAAAGTATGGATTAGAAAATGCAACTACGTACGTATACATACCACCGTTCCTCGTTGTCACCATGATCGTTTCGAGCGGCTTTGATTCTGATGAGTCCGAGGAGTTTTGGTAAGAGTAGAGGGAAGCATACATAACTTGTCATAAAGAGACAAGGGACACTAAACAGAAACAGGAGGGATGGTAGAGAAGACAAAAGAGACAACATTGTTTTGATTGCTTGCTTACGTACGCCTTGATGTTTTATTTTCCGAGTTATCGAAGGTTTCTCATGGCATGTATATACTAAGAGTTTAGAGACACCTAACTACGCAAAGAGACAGGTCGTTAAACTCTTCCGTGGTGAAACGTTATTATTAGTTAATCGAATGTTTTGTAACCTATAGGGTTTCTCACAGTAAGTAAATTATATTAAGAGTTTAGAGACACTGAACTACGCAAAGACAGGTCATACGTAATAAACTCTTCTCCGTGGAGAAACGTTAATATCAGTTAAGGGTTTATCTATCTTATATGTTTCCAGCTGCATGCAATAGGTCATTGATCCATGTGATTGATTTCTTGTTTTACAAGACTTTGACGAGTCCACTAATTTTAGAGAGATTATGTTTTTTGTTTTTTCTTTCCAATTTCGAGTATTGACCTCAAGGTCTTTGTTGAAGTCCCCAAACAAACTAAAAATGTTGAGAAAAATCCAATTCTGCATGGGGAAAAATATATATATACTTTAAAAAAAAAACGAATTTTCAAATAGCCTACGTTCACAAAATTTCGTTTAAATGTCAAAGTTGTTGATTTTTAAATTATAAAAGATCATTTTTGTTGACTTTGTCAAGTTAAGCATCTCAAACCCGATACCTCTAAATACATCAAATATGCAATACCGACTTAGCTAAAAAATTAGATTGATTATAACTCAAACATACCTAGTGACTAGTTATATTGTTTATAACAAAAAAAATGGTCAAATTAAAACTAAAAAAAAAAATCATTTTCTTCTACATTTGACGGCTTTCATGTCCTCTTCCTAAGTCTTTGGCATCCATTTTAATTTGAAAACTTGGTCAGCTTTGAAGCTGACATCAACGTCGTATTTTCATGCAAAATTTTGATGACAAAGTTACCTTATATAAAAGAAACGAACCAATTAGATTAACATCTTTTAACTTAATTACCATAACTTCAAAACCTACCTGATATGATTCCCGCAATAAAAGTCTCATTTATATTATGGCTTACTTGAAAGTTTGAAACCCTCGAATATGTAATGTCAACTACATATATGTCGTTTCTCCACTTTTATTCGATTCACATATCGAAAAAAAAAATACAATGATACTTCAAACATAAAGCATTTTCATAGAAATTACAAATTAAGAAAACATAAACAAAAGGTAACAAAGATACATCAAACTTGAACGCCAAATCTTCTTTCCCTGCACTGATACGAAGCGAGGGCCTCTATAAGCTTACCCTTATCGAAATCAGGCCAAAGGACCGGCGAGAAAAAGAGCTCAGTGTAAGCAAAGTTGCCACAAGAAGAAGTTACTAATCCTTTGTTCTCCACTTGTCCTTATCAAGAAATCAGGACTTGGGAAGTCAATAGTATTTGTCATAAGCTCTCTCTCGATCAATGTCTCGTCAACATCTTCCTCTCTGATCAACCCTTCTTCTGATTTCTTCACAATACTCTTGCAAGCGAGCGTGAGATCGAATCTCCCGCTGTAATCTATTGCCAAGATGAGATGCTTATTCTTGTAGCCTTTCGTAGCTTCTTCTATCTCATTGATTACTTGGCTGAGTCCTTAAGGGATCTTTGTTTTATTTCCGATAACAGAAACGCGAGTTTCCTTTCTGAAACAATATGACAAAGATCTTAGTGATAAATATCATGACATATATGTCAAAAACAAAAGAAAAGCTCGATCGAATTTGTCTTTATACCTTTGGAAGTATTGGATTTGTGACTTAATGTAGTGTTCGAGCAAAGACATTAGGCACTTAACCTCAACCTTCAATAATAACAACAAACTTTGTTAGAGTAGTCGTAGATAAATCTTTGGCAATTCTCACCAATAGCACAAAAACAAGTTTTGTTTTTAACTTTACTACACTATCTCTGAAATTCCAAAAATAACACCAAAATTCAAAACTAACTTTTAAAATTAACTCATAAACTCTAAACACTAGTTGACAAAAAAAAAAAACTCTAAACACTAAACCCTAGGCAATAACAACTGGTCAATTCAAACAAAAAAAAAATCCAAAAAATTAAACAATTTAAAATATTGTAATTCTGTCGTTTATATAAATGCTATTTTGCAGGTTTTGTGGAGTGCGTAGTATTATCTTATTATATAAAGATGGGTTTTCAAAGTTAGTCATTAACAAGATCGTGATATGTGTTAATTGAATTGATAAAATGTTGACACGTGTTAAAATTTATGTTTTCATTAGTTAAAAAAATTAATTCAAAATATAATATGACATGGGATTAGTATATGCCGTGGGATTAATTAAGTTAGTCATTAATATGACGTGAGATTTATTTTTTAAATATAATATGACATGGCATATTGTTGGCTAATCAATAGGGGGTGAACAAGAGTGGTTCACCCCTAGATCAATAGGGGGTGAACTCAAGTATTAATCAAAAATATAATAGCACGGATACTGATCTAGTTATCCATAAAACTTGTTTTAGTACTATTTAACGGTATTTCTAATAAATTGTATGAATATGTAAAGCTAATTGTAGTTAAAATGACACACCTTGTTTCTTCCCCAATTCTCTGTGGAGAAAAGAAATGCTGAGACTGTTTGAATTACCAAATCGAAACAATGCTCGGCGAACTGTGTAAGCCGTTTAGCTCCGGCCTCGTGGCCTTGTAACGTAAACAATCCGGCCCGTTTGGCCCATCTCCGGTTTCCATCCACTATTACTGCAACGTGTCTCGGCATTAGCTCTCTTTGTAACTCCTCCTCTCGGACAACATTAGTTCCCTCATCACTACACGAACACAAAACCCCAAAGCTAAGTTATGAATCTCATTGTCCAAACCAAACAACATAAGTTATGTTGCATGTAAGAATTTTTGTTAACCTATCTCGTAAGTATTTTGTGTACATTATATGAATATTTTCTCTGTTTATAATTAATATAGAGTTAAATATAATAAATTGGAATTAAGTTATGATTCTCTTTCCGAGAGAATTTCAAAATTACCGCTTGTATGATGCAACTCTTCAAGAATACTATTGTTTGTCCATATATGTATATCTAAAACACACAACAAAGTATATATAGATTAAAAACTTGTATGAAACATGTTTAAAGTGTTTATGAAGTTTTTGTAACATGCGTGCGTGGATATAAATTTTTGATAAAGTTTACGTATACGTGGATCTGATTTAAAGAGAGGCATATGAAAAAAAATACTAGATGTGTAACACATAGCATGGTTAATTATTGCAGTAGATCACACTACAAAATATATGCATATTGGTAGGACACAGAAAAGAAAACGGTTCGAGTAGCGTTTGAGACGAAATTATATAACATGTTTTGGTATAGGATCTGAGAAGATGTATGAGATTCGGCCCAGAACCTCTTTTATTATTCAAAAAAAAAAAAAAAAAATGTTGTATTATCGTTTTCATAGCGAATTCATAAACGATATGTTTGCTCGAACTATCCTATGTCAAGACATAACTAGCTAAATGCCAAAACTTTATTCGACGTATTGGGTAATTAAGAGGCTAAAACATATATAACTACTAGAAACTAAAAGGTATATTATGGATTAGAAAACGCAAACTACAGTTTCTTGTTGTCATCATCGTCTCGAGCGGCTATGATTTTGATGAGTAGTCCGAGGAGTTTTGGCAAGAAGAGAGGGAAGCATATATAGCTTGTGATAAAGAGACAAGGGATGAGAAACAGAAAGAATATGGATGATAGAGAAGAGAAAAGATCAGACAACATTGTTTTGATTGATTAAGCTTGATTTGGCTTTGCCTCTATGGCTCTATGGTCTCATAGTCATAGTATGCATGTATATATTACGAGTTCAGAGACACCGGGCTACGCAAAGACAGGTCATACGTATCAAACTCTTTGAGTGGAGAAACGTTAATATTTGCCAATTAATCGAAGGTGGTTTCTCATGTGATTGATTTCTTGTTTCACAAGACTTTGATGAGTCCCAATAATTTTAGAGATATGGATATATATAAATTTCTAGTCTAGTTAAAATCTGATTTTTTTCTTTCCAATTCCGAGTATTGACCTCAAGGTCTTTGTTGAATACACAAAGAGAAAAATCCAATTATGCATATGAGGAAAATTATTTTAAGAAATCATTTAAATGCCAAAATTGTTGATTTTATAATTAAAAACCTAAGTTTTGTTGACTTTGTCATTTTGGCCAAAATGACATATTAAGTGTTATTCAACAAAGAATGTTGGAATGCACCTAAAAAATTGTAATGCATCTAAATTTGTAATAATGGCAATCTAATTAATATATATTTCAACCTTATAAAAGTAGTGCTAAATCAAGTATATACATCCAATTAAAAAATCGACTGAAGGTTGATACCGGAATTTAATTTTTATTTTTATTTTTTTTGGTAAGAATTTAAAAAAGTTTATTGGCCAAAGCTCTAGAACCCTCTTCGTTTGTAAATTAAAAATAAGTAAATCAAAATTTAAAGTTTAAAAGAAAATATATGATTGGCTGGCAAAAAAAAAAGAAAATATATGATTTTTTTCTTCAAACTTATATATAACACTATTTGCTGCCTTTTAAATTAAAGAAAGTTTTAGTATACTGTTTTATTTTATAGAGAAAAAGAAGTATGCGATAAATAAATACAAATGTGTCTATTTAGAACGTGACAAATCACATAATTAAATACCCCAACAACCACGTAATATTAACCTAGTCATTACTCATTAGTCCTAACATGAGAAATAATTAAAAACCAATTAATAAGGCTTTAAAACAAGACTAGGTCACAAAGTCTCGTTTTAGCTTTTGTGTGGTTGTCATCTCTTTACTCTTTTAACACTTTGACCAAAGAAAAAACAAAAACCAGTGTTTTTCCTCGTCCGTTCACTCTCTCTCGTAATCACACAGACACACATATACATATACACACATTACTTGTTGCACACAAATTGGTGGAGGAGACGATTACGAACGACAATGGACTCGAAAGAGAATGGTTTAGAATTGACTCAGACCATTGATGGACCAACCAATCCTATGGTTACACCTTTGCTCAATGATCTTTATCAATTCACTATGGCTTATGCTTATTGGAAAGCTGGCAAACACAACGAACGATCCGTGTAAGACACACAATTTCTCATACTCTGTTTTTTTTCTTTTGTTACAGTTCTGTATGGTTTTTGTCTTTGTGTGTGTATTTGGAATTGATTGTTTTTGTTTTCATGCTTTATAGCTTCGATCTGTATTTTCGTAAGAACCCATTTGGTGGTGAGTATACTGTGTTTGCTGGATTAGATGAGTGTATTAAGTTCCTTGCCAATTTCAAATTGAGTGATGACGAGATCGATTTCGTTCGTGAGTCTTTGCCTGGATCTGAGGTATTGAAAAGAAGTGATTTTTAAGATTGTTGTATGGTTTGATCGATTAAAGTTTGGATTTTTATATCTGGGTTTGATGTTTTTTGATTTAAATTAGGAAGCTTTCTGTGATTATCTTAGAGGGCTTGATTGTTCTGATGTTGAAGTCTATGCAATTCCTGAAGGATCAGTTGTTTTTCCTAAAGTACCTCTTATGAGAGTTGAAGGACCTGTTGGTGTGAGTACAGTACACTCTCTCTAACTTTCTCTTGATGTGAAGTTTGAAGCAAATAGTTGTGTTGAATGAATGATTTTTAATTCTTGTTATGAATCCAATAGGTTGTTCAATTGTTGGAAACTCCATTCCTCAATCTTGTCAATTTTGCATCTTTGGTAGCTACAAACGCAGCTAGGCACCGGTTTGTTGCCGGGAAATCTAAGAGTTTACTCGAGTTTGGTGCTCGAAGGGCTCAGGTTTCTATCAAATTGTTCTCTTGTTTTTGATGTAGAAACTGGATTTGGATCTTTATATGTGTCTCTGATGCTCTTAGTTTGGTTTCTTAGGGACCGGATGGAGCAATAAGCGCATCGAAATATTGCTACCTTGGAGGTTTTGACGCAACAAGGCAAGTTTTAGTTTTTGTTGTTTGTTCTTGGAAATAGTTGAAAGGGCTTGTAGAAATGATGATATGTTTTTGTGTTGTTGGGTAAATTGCCAATGGCAGTAATGTAGCAGCTGCAAAACTTTTTGGGATACCTCTCCGTGGAACACACTCCCATGCTTTTGTTAGCTCATTCATGGTCAGTTTACTTAAGCCAAAAAAGTTCTAGTTCTGTTTTGAGGTTATACAATTTTAGCTATATCCTGGAAAGCTCATCACAATTCATAATTGAGTAATCAACTAGGAGTGCTAAGTGAAAACACAAAGTTTCTTGAAAATGTAATGTTCATGTTAAGCTTTGAATACTAGGAGAGGTTCTGATTTCCACTTTATGTACCTGTTTTTTTGTTTATCAACATTACTAGCAATATTGTTATAGTTACCTTAACTTTGGTTTGCAGAGCACTGATGAGATTGTTGACAAAGTGCTTCACAGTTCTGATGGGAAAACCACGTGTGAGGATTTTGTCAGTCATGTTCAGACATGGTTAAAAAAGATTCAGGTTTGCTATTGACTTGATTTTGCTCTTTCGACGATTATTCTGTTTTTGCTACAATCTATTCGATCTTTTTCACACTTTTGCTTATGTTTTGTTTCCTTGTGGATAACAGTATTCACCATCTCTCAGTGGCATTTTCTCTGAGACAAATCAAAGCGAGCTAGCAGCTTTCACCTCATATGCGCTGGCATTCCCCAAAACTTTTCTTGCCCTTGTAGATACATACGATGTGAGCATGAAACACCATAGTAGATAAGCTCATTTGAGCTTAAGATTTTTAATAAACTGTCGTATTAGTGTGTTACCATCTGTTTTTTATAGGTGATGAAGAGTGGAATCCCAAACTTCTGTGCAGTTGCTTTAGCACTCAATGACTATGGGTGTGTAAGAATCTCTTATCAATACCCGATTGTTTGACTTGCTTCTTAAGCATTTAGTGACTTTGTACTTTTTCGGATTGATGCAATTGATGTTTGTTGTGCTGTGCAGATACAAAGCATTAGGTATTAGACTGGATTCAGGTGACTTAGCATATCTATCTACAGAGGCCAGGAACTTCTTCTGCACCGTAGAGAGAGAACTAAAAATCCCCGGTTTCGGTAAGATGGTTGTCACTGCTAGTAATGATCTAAATGAAGAGACGATCGACGCTTTAAATAAACAGGTGAGTCTTTAACCTTACTCTCAAGGGCTCCATAAGATTGATTTTTCTTATGTGATTCTAAATCTCGGTAGGGACATGAGGTGGATGCTTTTGGTATTGGCACCTACTTAGTCACTTGCTACTCGCAAGCGGCCTTAGGTTGTGTTTTCAAACTTGTGGAGATAAACAATCAGCCTCGGATCAAACTTTCTGAAGATGTTACAAAGGTTAAAACTTCCTCTCTATCTCTCACTGGTTTCTGATCATTTTTAATGTTACACTGCACTGGATATGATTATCATTATGATTTGTTCAGGTATCGATACCATGTAAAAAGAGAAGTTACAGATTATACGGGAAAGAAGGTTACCCGCTGGTGGATATAATGACTGGAGAGAACGAACCGCCTCCAAAGGTAAAACATATATAACTCTTTCAAAGATATTAGTTTTGTTACCTTATTGCAAATACATGATATCTTTCTTAAATTTAAAGGTTGGCGAGCGTTTACTATGTCGTCACCCATTCAATGAATCCAAAAGAGCATATGTAGTGCCGCAGCGTGTCGAAGAGCTCCTCAAATGCTATTGGCGTGGAAGTGCAGGTAAAGATTTTTCAGTACCTTAAAGTTATAATGACATTGCTTCGTAACTGATTATTGCTTCTCTCTGCCAACAAAGATGGAGCAAGAGAAGAATTACCGTCGTTGGAAGAGATAAGAAACCGTTGCATCAAACAGCTGGCAAACATGCGACCTGATCATATGAGGAGATTAAACCCAACTCCTTATAAGGTTAAATTATCCTCTACAAACTGTTTTGGAAACCCATTTTTTCGATTTCTCGGAGTAATCTATGTTAATGTTTTTGTTCTCGGGTACAGGTTAGTGTCAGCGCGAAGTTGTACGATTTCATCCACTTCCTATGGCTCAACGAAGCGCCTGTTGGTGAATTGCAGTAACAGAACAAAGACAAAGAAGAATCTGGTTTGGGTTGGAGTAATGTATATAAATTTATACACCACAGCATCACGAACTTGCTATTAAGAGTTTTGCAATTAGTTTCTCATTTTACTACATTTTGATGATCTCTCATACTTTATTGCCGTGGCAAGTTTCATCTTCATATTGAAGAAAAGAAACTAGCTGCGTTCATTGGAACGAACTCTGTTTTCAACTGATTCAATATGATTTATTTTTTACCTCTGTAAACATCAATGTAAACAGTGAAAAGTTTACTCAAGTCAATGATTTTGTATCAGATCATACATATGTAGTTTTGTTTTGTGCTTACCATATACAATACGTAAACATTGAATTCGGATAGTCTCTCTGCAAATAGCCGTGGCTTGGAGGGCAGGGCATTAGATAAGGCTATACATACCCTATGACCATTCATTACTACTAGAAAAGAAAGAACAGTAAATAAAACAAAACTTGTAATGGTCTGAATCCTTTTTGTTTAACCCGTGTTTTATTGATCCGAAATGGTAGGGTCTATAAGTTTGATTGCTTAGACGATTTGCCCAAATGGTCCATGCAGAGAGTTTTTGTTTTCAAGTCTTGCGACATTTGGTCTAGTTACAAAAATGGTCCAGGATCATTTGTTGCGTCGACATATGGGAATATTGGGATTCAAACAAAAATGGCATTATCTAAAAATCTCTCATAACCACTGGGAATTAATATGACTTTTTAAAGATCTAAAGTTTTATTATTATTGCGGATTATCGTCTAAAATGCTATTTTTGCACAACCATTTTTCAAAACTGCCATTTTCTAAATATTCTTACAAAATTGCCATTTTTCCATTTTTAAAAACTAAACATTTGAAAAAAAAAAAATTATATAAAACACATGCTTCATAACACGAACCTAATAAATTTAAATATCATGTGTAAATTTGTGTTTTTGTATATAAAAAATGACAATTTGAAAGTATTTTGATAAAGTGGCGAAACCTATAAATGCCATCAAAATAAGTCATTTATTCGTAATTGATTTATTATTATTATTTTGAAAAGTTTCAATTCAATCATATAGAATGTTTTTTATGAACTTTTTGTTAGCTTATCATGTTTGGTCGAACTCAATCATATTCACTGCTGAATAGAATCAGTTTGGTGTGGTTGGTACGGTTTAGTTCAACAAAAAAGTGTAGTTAAATTGTCGATTACTTGATTAAAGTGATAGAAAATAGCAACTATTCTTCCTTTTAATCCATGTTAAAACATTGTAAATATTTTTTTTTCCTGAAAATATTATGTAATTAAAACATATGCGTATTCACTAGATTAGTTCGGTTTGGTTCTAATCTACTAGGCATGTTAGTTTGTTTTGTGTTTCCTTTCCATAATTTTTAACTTTTGACGATTTAATATTTATGTAATTCTAAAGCGGATTGTCTAATTACATCCTTACTGTTTTTTACTAAACACCGTGACATCGACCACAAAAAAAGAAACACGGTTTATCCGGAGAGAAAAATACACAACAATAAGATGAAAAGTGTCGTAAATAATGAACGCTGATGAAGATGGATATGTCGCTGTTATTTTCAGCGACTCAACGGCTGCAGTCGCGATTCATGTAGATGTAATTTTCAAGTCCACAGTACCATTTAACATTGCTACTTTTTATCCCTTCTCTACCACTATCGTAACGTTTACTAAAAGAACATGACCATATACGTATTCACTAAAACCAAACTGTAAAATAATTTTAAAGCGTTTGTAACGGTATGAACGCACACCAAAACGCGTTTCAAGCTTTGGGTTAAAAATTGCGACGACAACAAAAATAAAACTGAGTGTGGGGATAGAAATACATATGAAATGTCCAGAAAAACAAAAAAAAGTACTCTTTACTCAGTAAACCCATAATAAGAATATGCTAAAAGATACATAAAAGATTCGGTTAAAAAGCTGAGAGCTAAAAGACACGACTTTTCTGGGCTCTTAAAACTTTTTGTGCAATTTCGTACTTCTAAAAACATTCCTTCTACAAATCTTCTATTTTCCCAAATTCACCCAAAAAAAAAAAACTTATTCTCTGAAAAAATCAAAATTAAAAATCTAAAAAAGTTAACTTTAAACATTACTTCTTCCTTCTTCTTCACTCTAACTTAACCCATTCGTAACGTCCTTCTAATGGCTTCTCCTTCTCAAAATCAAAATTATACCTAACCAACACAAATATATACAATCTCAATCTTAAACATAGCTGTAAAAATGTATAAAAATTTCATTAATTATATAATAAAATCAAAACTCAAAAAAAAAAAAAAAAAAACACTTACTTCTTCTTGAATTTTTCATTGACAACTTTTTCAGCTACAGCGAAAAAATCATCGATTTCCGATTCCGTCGGCATCTCCGCCCTCGAATTCTCCTTCTCCGCCGTCGTCGACAAATCTACTCTCCCGCTACAACAGCAATCTAACGGTTCTTTAATCGCGGTTTCGAATTCCGATGAATAACTCTCCATTGATTTGCTCCTCTCTTCTTCTTCTTCGTCTCTAAAATCCTCAAACAGCTTCCTCTTCCTTCTCCTTTTAAATTGAAAACAAAATTTATTGAAGAGAGAAGTGAAAAAAAATCAAAACAACCGGGAAAATTACAAAAACCTTCAAAAATTCGAATTTTTTTCAATCTCTTACCGTCGATACGTCGACGTTTCAGTGTCACCTTCTTTTATCTTCCTCGACCTTCAAACAAAAAATTTCAAATTTAAAAAAAGAAAAAAAAAACATTAAATGAGAGTTAATAATGAATCTAGGATCAAAAAACATTTAATAACCTCTAGATCTATGTTCTTCTTATATTCATTGCTCCCACAACAAGACGACAAAACTCCATTATCTTCACCATCAACAAATACAGAGCTAGCTTTTTCCGATCTGATGTAAACGATTCTCCGGCTACGAAGTTGCATATACGTAGAAGAAACTCCACTTTCAACCAATCCTTTACCTTTTCTACATTTCCTCACCATCTTCGATTTTAGGTTACGTGTGCGTGACGTTACAAAAAAAAAAAAAAAAAACTCTCCTCAGAGATATGATTAAGTTGAGAGGATGAGGAAGAAGAAGAAGAATTGAAGAAGAAGATGATGATTGATTGGTTTTAACGGTCAGGATTGAGTTTTGAGGAGCTTTTTTGATAGAGAAAATGGCGTGTTTATTAATCAAAGTGGTCCTTTGGTTTTAAACAGTGACGGGGGAATCTTTAACCGGGGAAACTGGAGGCGCCGTTATTTGGATTGTGTGAGGTTACTTGTTTGAACGATTAGGTTGAGTGACACGTGTCGGTTGTAAACGGTGACTTTAAACGGAACGGGAGGCGTAATAATTGTGGTGTAACTAACTCTTTTAAAAACCCTCTCATCTCTTGGTAATTCACAGATTTGCCATTACCCAGGACCGGAGCTGTGAATTATGTGGTGCATCGTTGTTATTACTAGTACTAACTCTACTACTGAATTGATGATGATGGTACCGTGTGTATGACACATTCCATTAAATTTGAGGTTACAACCATAAAAGATAACACGAATCTGGTTACAAAATTATTACGTAAAATACAAACTTTTGCAATTATATTTTCTGCCAATCACTGCAATGCAAAGCAGAATTTCTGCTTATCACCGTAATTTCGGACATATACATCTCATTTTGGAGTAAGATATATATTTTTGATAAAAAACAAATATAAATAGTAAAAAATACACATAACATTAGTTTTTCTGCCCCCCCCCCCCACAAATTAGCATACAATAGAAATTTAACAAACCCAAAATAAGAAGATATGATCATAATTATCAATACTAAGCAACTCACATAACAAAAATAAAAATAAAAAAAATTCAAGTTTCAACACGTATCGAATGAGATCCGATAAACTAAACCGACTTAATATTATGTGCTCCCAACCGAAGTTGAACTCCAACTGAGTGGAAAATTTGAACCTGACTATCAACTGGCATATCAATTATAATTTTGGAGATTACAATTCAATATCAAACTACCTCACTGCAATGAGGAGGACAACCACTTCCATCTCTATCTCCGCCGTTTTAATTTATTACAGATAAATAAACATTAACTAATCATTTTTCTTTCGTAATTAATTACTAACCACCATTAGTTAAATAATGTACATCATCCTTCTTTAGTTTGTAAAGACATAAAATATAATTATTAATTAAAATAGAGAGGTTCATATACAACTATTGGCCTCCAAAAATAGTGAGGCTCATATATGATTATTAATACCAATTTTTATGTGTGGTACGAATTATGTTATTATTCTTGTTGAGAGATCTTGAGTTATATATAGATCAACCTGAATGTTCTTGTTTTTAAGTGGCATAACATCGCTTCGTCTTATATCTCTTTTTTAGTGTCTGATATTCTTATGATTTATCTTGTTGTATATATTTTGCACATTCAAGTCATAGCTACCTCATATTTAACAACTTAACAAATATTATAATCTTTGTTACTCCACTATTTATTTTCTTGGAAGAATCTTTCGATCCATTTACAATCCATCCATTTGCATTAAATGAAATTATGAAGCTTTTCATACTTTAATTATTAGCATGACGTAACGATCTCGTGATTGTGTTTCTGAATTATTAATAGGGAAATTGTAAGTCATAGCATCAGTTGACCATTTTATTAACTAAATGTCACTGATCTTTTTTTAATTAGGTGGATATTTTTTTGACGATTTTAACCCTACACACTTGTTACATTGAATTTTTTTGGAACAACAAAACGTGTTGTGGGCCATGATAAAGATGATGTGGTTGACGAAACTGATGACGCCGAGGTTAGCTGATTTAATACGTGTTACCAGATAACCAAATCAGTATATAATGTGTGTTTCATTCAGTTTATTTCTTATTATTTTGTTATTTATTTGTTTTATACAGTTTTATCATACATATATATTTACGTACTTGTATAAAATATTTATATTACCGGTTTATATAAATACTCAATTTAACGGATAATATGTAACTTACCGCGATAACATATTATTTAACATGTTTTAAAAAAATGTTATCGAATTAATGCTGATGAACAGTGTTATCGAATTCATGGAAATATATATCGGTTTGAGTTTATAATACAGTGGTTAGGCTTTAGATTTTATAACC